GAGAGACTGAGCACGAGCAGGGGATGGGCAGAGAGAGAGGGAGACACAGAATCCAAAGCAGGCTCCGGGCTCTCAGCTGTCAGCACAGAACCCGAGGCAGGGCTCGAACCCACCAAATGTGAGATCATGACCTGAGCCAAAGTCAGACGCTCAATCAGCTGAGCCACCCAGGCGCCCCAGAACTGGGATTTTAAAACAAATGAAGGTGGCTCGTTTTGGATATTAGCAGATTCTTTGGTTCCTTCTGTAGACTTGCAGCATAGTGAGAGAGGCCTCGTTTTACAAATGAGGAAACAGAGGCCTTGAGAGGTGAAAGGTGTCGGTGAGGAGTAGTGACAGGGAGTGGTGGCTGGTGGCATAGTGAAGGGAGCAGGGCCGCAGCACCTGGAACCCTCCCTTGGAGTCCCTCCATTCGTTCTCCAGTCCGGCCCCGGAGCTAGTGCTCGCCATAGCACAGGTGCTCCTCTGGGGGGCCTCTCTGATGCCGGTTCTGACTCATGTTCCCTCTTTGGGACAGGACCAACCTGGAGGCCTTGCAGAAGAAGCTGGAGGAGCTGGAGCTCGATGAGCAGCAACGGAAGCGCCTGGAGGCCTTTCTTACCCAGAAGCAGAAGGTCGGGGAATTGAAGGATGACGACTTCGAGAAGATCAGTGAGCTGGGCGCCGGCAACGGTGGTGTGGTGTTCAAGGTCTCCCATAAGCCGTCTGGCCTGGTCATGGCCAGAAAGGTGAGGCCACTCAAAAAATAAAAAGAAAGAAAAAAGTACTGAATCAGGTTGGTGACTAGGTGAATTCACTTGGTGAATAGGTGATTGCATTCTCTCTTGGAAGATCGGGGGTCTGGGGACAAGGGTGGAAGGAAGATGGATTTTTCACTCGGTACCTTGTTGTGCTGTTTGAATTTTGAGCTCCTGTCATCTATCAGATTATAGGATAAACACACTGATGGTGTGTGAGGGTATTTATCCCCATCCCCAGACTGGAAAATAACAGCAAGTGACCTTTGCGAGCTTTCTGCGTGCTTTGGAAAGAATGCAAGGGTGCCTGTTTGCCATTATCTGGTGCAGCAGAAGCTGCTTGCTTTTAGGCAGCCCCGGCGATGCACCAGACCCTGCTTTCAAGTTGTTTGCCTGGCCCCGGCCCTGCCGCTGCTTCCCCCTCACTGTCCTGCAGGGAGCATCTCCGCTCCCCTCTGTGGCAGGCAGTGTCCGAGCTGGACTCCCCTTTCTGTCCACCGTGCTCCTCCCCTTTCTGCACACAGCCCCTGCTCCAGCGAGGCCCGGCCCTTCTGTGTTCTCCGGCACACCATGCTTGCTTCCGTCCACGTATTTTTGCTCAGGCTGCTCCCTCCATCTTTTCAAACAGCGCCCGTCTTCCCGTCTTCACGGCCTGCCTCTCGTCTAGCTTTCACTGGTCACTCCAGCCCATGCTGATAACCACTGGTTTCCATGTCCTCTGACACTCACTCCTTGTCTGCGGCCCTTTCTAGAAGCTTCATCTCATTCAGCAACCATTTCCTATGTTTGTTGTGTCTGTCCCCTGTCTGCCTGGAGGAAACAAGGGGCAACATGAGAGGGACATGGGTGGCACCTGAGGCCCTGGCCAAATCTCAACCACATCAGGCTCCTGAAGTCAAGGGAAGCTCCCCGGGCAGCTTGGGTCCCCACTGTCAGTCCTTCCTACCTCTCCATTTCTACAGCCCCCGAGTGCCAGCCGGCTCCTCAGGCTGCTTTGTCTTCCTCTCTCGGCTTCCCGGCTCCTTTTAGAGGAAATGCTCCTTTCAGCTTTGTGCTTGGGAGGGGTGAGCCCCCCTTCCTCACTCTTGGCTCCTAGGAGCGGAGGCACAGCCGTCCTCCCCTCATTATGGCTCCTCCCGTACCATTACCTGCCCTGGTAGGTTGGCACTGAGTGCTCTGGTCGGGCAGAGACTTGTTAAAACGTGCCTGTGTCCTCTCCTCCCACCTGTAAGAGCTTAAGCATTTAAGAAGGCTTTCATTCATCCATCCGTATGTTTTTAAAACATCTCTTCCTCCCACCTTTCTTTCCCCAGCTAATTCACCTGGAGATCAAACCTGCAATCCGGAACCAGATCATAAGGGAGCTGCAGGTTCTACATGAGTGCAACTCCCCATACATCGTGGGCTTCTATGGCGCGTTCTACAGCGACGGCGAGATCAGTATCTGTATGGAGCACATGGTATGTGGTAACCCATTAGCCTCTGGAGCAACAGCCTAGGAGCTGGATGGCTCTGGTCTTGTCTTTGGTTTGGGACCAGCTGCCTCCCTTTTCCTCCCTGGATCCACGTCACCGTCTTGGGCATCTGGGCTTTGAAGCTGAAACATCCCTGTCCTCAGAGTCTATAATCTGCTTTAAGGACAGTCTGGAGGGGTTCTTTGGGTGTGCAGAGAAGTAATATCACTTGATGCACATCAGAGAAGGCAAGTGAGAGGGAATTTAGGGGCTAATTGTGTGGATGTGAGCTGCCGATCTTGGTACCATTAGCTGCCTGGAGTCCCTTCTCTTTCTGGTGACTGACAGTAATAACAGCATCTACAACAATAATCTAGCAATACTCATACTAGTAAACTAATATTTATCAGGTTTTATAGCCTGGACTACCCTACGCATATTAATATTTTATTGCATTTTTGCAAGCCTTATTGGATGGGTAGATCATCTGCATTTTACAAATGAGGAAACTGAGGCTCAGAGAAGTTAATAACTTGACCAAGGTCATGCAGCTAGTAAGTGGAATTGGCAGAATTTAAACCAAGGCTGTTGGGCCCCAGTGCCTGTACTTTGTTGAATCCACTGGATAGTGATTGGGGCTCTGTTTCCATTCTTGATGCCCAGAATCTCAGAGAGACAGGCTGGCTTCGTGATGGCTATTTTTTCCTGTCCCCATTAGGCACCAGGGGACTTTGGAATCTGAGATGTTTATTCATATCTCCCTTCTCCACAAAAATCCGAGTAGACACTGTCTTGTTTGCCACTGTGTCTCCAAAGCCCAGAATAGCCCTGGCACCCAGCAGGCGCTCAATAATGATTTGTTTACAGATGTCACCTTCTCGTCAGGACCTTGGGCAGGTTTCTTTATCTTTCTCATTCTCCCTTTCCTCATTTGCAAAATGGCCATTACCATACGGACCTCGTTGCGGTGAGGATTGGTGAAAATAGCAGAGTAAGCCTTCCGGCACACCTACCCCAAGCTTGTCTCGTGCAAACGGTAGAGGTTGCCTTATTCTCACTGTCGCTGACAGCTCCGGGATGAGGGCTGACATGACTGAGTCGGCGAGCTTAGGGCTGCTGAACTTTGAGCCCTCGGTCTGGCAGAGTGTCCCTCAGCTTCTCCACTTCCTTCCAGACCCTGGCTCTGCTCCGACCTCTGGAGAGAGCCCCCAGGCACGGTCTTCATGAACTCCAGGAGAACCCTCCCCAGGAGGTTTGTCCCTTGCTGGCGCCCCATTATGTTGAACTTCTGTTCATGTTAATTGTCAGGAAGTGCCATACGTATGGTGGCCGGCGTCTGCCCAACTTTTGTGGTGCCATATGGAACATAGAACCTGGAACGTCTCCTGCTCTCCTGAAGGTTCCCAAGAAAGCTCTCGTTCCTCTTGCTTGAATGGGAGGGAAGCAGCCTCTGTGCAAAGCACATGAACATTTCTGGTTTGGTCCTCACCCAGACCTGGGGTACTGATATTTTCCCTTTGGGTCTTAGCCTCCCTTTGGTGGGGTGCAGGGCAAGGGGGGGGGTGTTCCTTAAGCTTTGGGTTTCTTGGGCTTTTCGTGCTGATGATGGTTGGTTTTCTAGCTCTAGCCCAGAGGTTTGGATGAAGATGTGTAATTGGCAGTGGAGGTTCCTTGAAAACTAGAAGAGGGTGGAGGGTGGAGGCAATGGTGATAAACCAGTGACCGGAAAGGCCTTTTTTCTCTTAGGTGTTGCCAAAATAATGGGAGGTGGGTGGCAGCATGGGTAGACATGGTAGTAACTAGCTTTCCCATTTTCTACCGCTTGGTGAGTCCTTGCCATGTTATATAAGTTATTAATCACATCAGCCCTGTCATGTGACGCAATGTTGACCACCCTCCCCGAGGTGGGCGAGGGAACAAGGCCTCTA